CTTTCCTTTTGAAAATCCGAGAGGGATATATTTCGTTCTGAAAAAATCCAAGGAATAAATCAAAATGTGCAATGCAATTCTCTATTGCGCTTATGTCAGAAGAGCTAATATTATTATATTAATTTCTTTATTTACATACGCGTTTCGGTGCTAGATATTTATTATTTTTAAAAATTTACCCACAAATATTTAAAGTAAAATATTTAAAAGTAAAAAATTAAGAAATTTGAATTTAGCTCAACAGATACTTGGATATAGTTTATTTTCTGTCACGGTTAGATCAAAGAGGAGCATCAGAATCCAAATAGCCGAGTAAGTTGACAATCTCGGCATAACACGATTCGTTGATGATGCTGATAAGCAGGATGAGATCGATATCCGCAGCTTATTGTCATGAGCGTTATTAAATTTGTTTATAAGGCGCGTTGAGTGTGATACTTACAATGACATAAGATGCTATAACGTGGAAAGACATTAAACCCCCCCTCCCCTTTTTCTCATAATTCGATTTATTTTACTAATAGGAAGATGAAGTAACATAGTTCACTCGATGCCATAAATGCCACATGAAATTGCATCAATTTTACTTAATTGTTATTCCGGAGAAAATAGTGACGCTGTGAAGCAATTGACAAAATAATTTCAGAATTTATTTTATTAAATTACATTTTTATTAAATTAATACACATTTTCTTTGAGAATCCATTCTTAATATAATAATATTTTATCATAATTAAGAAGGCATACCCGTTTGAATCTTCGAAAAATTACATTTTCTAGATTTGTTTTCAGCGCAACGATTTGATAAAAAAAATTATTTTTTTTTTACAATATTAATATAATATTATTAAGTACTTAAATAAAAATTTTCAGCTTAAAGAAAATATTTTTCTAAAATTTATGCGGATATTTGCAGATTTATATTTTCATGCATGGTGTGCATGAAAACTCGGGCAACGTTCGATAGATTGACTTTAAATTTTACATGCAAGTTCCTAATAAGATTCCGCATCTGCTAACGAAGCCTTTTTTAATCCGATTCTCCATGCTTTTTGTTATAAACAAAAGAAATGGACATTTTCTCGAAAAAAAAAAAACGAAACTTTTTTTCAACGCGCCGTCATTTTTTTATTTTTTAAAATTTGGGAAACCCTGGAATAGCAGATAGCTATTAATATGTTCAATAAAAAAAAACTTGTGTTTTTGATTTCGGATAAGATCTACGAACGTTTTCATGCACACCGTGCAGCCGTTTAAAATTTGGAGGAGCTCTGCAAATATTCTCAAAACTATAAAAAAAAAAAATGTTTTTTGAAGCTGAAAATTTTTATTGAAGTAGTTAATAATATTGTATTAATAATGTGAAAAAATTAAGAATTTTTATCAAGTCATTGCGCTGCAAAAAAATCTAGAAAATGTACTTATGTATTATTGTACTATTGTTATTAAAATAATCAGTTTGTATCAAATTTAGAATTTTTAAAAATCGATCTGGAAGATCGATTCGAAATCGAACATTCCTATATCGATAAGTAAACCTACTCGGCTACTTGGATCGAATAAATACTACAGTATTTCTTCGTGCGCTCGCATAGCATGATCAAAAATAGTTATATAAAACCAGGCGATACGTTTGTTACGATTATCTTGTGAAATTTTGTACTTTGTTTTATCACGACGTTTCATCATTATTATCACGATGACTACAATAATGTCTTTGTCTAATGAAGTGATTAATATTATTCTGGAGTATATAAGCATCAAGGACATCGAGAACTTTAGTTCTACGTGCAAGAAATTTAGACAAACAACATGGAGCAATAAAATGTGGATGAAAAAGCTCTATCAGAAGTATAATTTTTTTGTTTGTTTTTCGCATGATCTTTTACAAGATGTTTGATCAAAAACCTAACAAAATATGAAATTATAGAGATTTTACATTTCTATTTTATTATTGTAATTCAAGCATTGATAATATAATTTTTCCTTAAGATTGAAAATATAAAAAGTTACATGATCGCCTAAATTGAAATAAAAGTGCAAAATTTATAATTTTATATTTCCAATTTTAGCCAAGTTCTTGAAAAAACATTCCATTTAAAAACCTTATGCGCAAAATGACTTCTTACAATTAGATATATACAATGAAATTTTGCATTTTTTATAAAATTTTCCTTATGAGAAATTATGCATTTCAAAATTTATCCTTTATACAGTGACGTTTGGTATAATTTTCAACAAATATATAACATAACTTCTCTTTGAATTGTAGTTGGCCTTCTACAAAAATTTTTTTTGATAATTTGACGAGCAGAAATCTTGCAAGATTAGATTTTAAAGAAGAAGTAAAAGCAATCGCATCATCTGTAAACAAAATGTGGGGTTTGATATCTCAGATGCCCAAGGATAATTTAAGCGATACTGACAAGAAAGTATCGGTTTTACAATTACTTAAGAAAACCATGAATGATATGATTTATCATGTTATTGTAGAAGAGCTTAACAGAATAATTTTGCAAAACCCATGGTATTCAACTCAATAAACTAAATTGATATTTATATGTGATACAATATTATAAATTAATGTATTTAAATAATTGATGTATTAAATAATTAATATTTATATTTGTCAGGACATCTGATTGCGATTTAACGAGAAGATATTACAGCTGCCATATTTTTCGACAACTGAAATACTATCATACCAAGCACAAATTTCTACAATTTTATAAAAGTAAAAACAGAAATCAACAAGTTTTGGAAGAGATAGTTAGTCTTCTAGTGCAATGGTTCGATGTTGACAGTGATATCTCTTACACACAAATCGTAAAACCATCATTGGATTATATTGCACTAAAGGTGTTGCAAGATCTTAGCGTAGCATATCCTTCGCATCCTATATTTACGATATCTAGTGTACTCTTTAATTATTGGAACAACCATAATGTCTTTCTCACCTATTGGGAGAAAGACGAAATATTGGCGATTTTGACTATACTTGAAAGAGTTATATTCTCTTCATCGAATTTCCATATATTAAATGAAATATGGTTAAAATCACATGGAAATGTGCCTGAAATTGTTGTAAGTTATTATAATAAATTATTATGTTTCATTATTTTTTGAACTGACAACTATGCTCATTGTTTCCATTGTTATTTATGGTATAGATTTCAGAAGGCACCCAATGTATATTTTTCTTAACAATATATCAAAGTGTATTGCGAAAACTCGGCGTACACTCTATTGTAGTTACAGAAAACATACTTCAAGTTTTGTTGAAAATGGCAGTACAAGAGTAAGCATAACTTTAACTTTGGAAAGAGACAGAAAAATATCTCATTTTTCTGGTTTTTATTTTTATCACATACGCGTGCGCATTTTTCATTTTTGGCATACCATATTTTACAATAATTTACATAATTTATATATTTGTCTCCTAGATTTTTGATTTTATTCTTAGTTTGTGTAATTTGCGAAAATATGATATTTATTAAAGATATATAAAATATAATATTCTTAAACATAATATCCTGCTTCTTTTTCAATAATTATCATTGATTACGCGTACGTGTGTTTGTATGTTGCCTGTATGCACATCTATTTTCTTCATGTTTTTCAGTGTTGACGAACGTCCAATGTATTTTTGTGTGGAATTGATAGATGGTCGATTGTTCGTGGACACCAAAATCAAGGGTGGTAATTTTGACAAAAATAAGGTTGATTCTTTATTATTTACGACGCAACGATGTAACGCGTTAAAGGTAAATAGTTTTGAAATTAGTAATAACACGAAAATATGTTTTATTGTTAGACAAAAGTTGCTTGTATATAGATGGGGGACATCTGACAACATAATCAGTTATATCATAGTTTAACATTATTATCAAGATCATTTCAAAGTCAATCCAATCTTTTTTAATAAAATAGTATACTTTTGTTATTAGCATAATCAAAAACTTTACAAGACAATTTCAACAGCCCTAAAATAATATATCATTTAATATTTAATTAATATCGTGGAGTTAGAGAGACACCAAAGCGCGAATACGCAGTGGCAATCCTGTTAACTTGGCATTTTAGAAACAACACGAAGAAAAACAACGAATTTTCTTGATCACTCTTTATTACAGATATTCAAATTGGGCACATTTAGACATGACCGTTGAGCAATGGCCGCGTTCAGCAGAAAAAGCGCTCAGTTATCGTCTTGTCTTTGTATTCGATTGCTACTAATTGTAAGCGGTTTTCTCTGCTGAACGCGGCCATTGTCTTATCAACACTCGACGTTGATTTGTTGGTTCTAGAAGTAAGAGCCAATCACGTTCGATTGCTATTCAACGGTTGTGTCTCCTAAACGCACCCATTAGGCTACGTTCGGAAACATCACCCACGTGCACAGAAGTGTCGTTCTATCTTTGTTATGTACCAAAAGTTAAACAAAGATAGAACGACACTCGTGTGCATACGGGTGATATTTCCGAACGCAGCCTAAATGTTCAAATATTTTACAAATCTTTCACAAAGATTGGATCCTACTCTTGACAACATTTATTTTCAACAAATAGTAGAATGTACTGAAACGACGAAAAGCTTGTACACATGAAGAAAGGGAGTAAATGTCAGTATTTATAAGTTAACATACAGATAATATGATGCAAACTCACGCTAATTTAATGGGATTTGCGCTGCCATTGTGTATTTGCACTTTGGACTCTCTAATTTTACGATATTAATTAAATGATACATTATTAGAGTTGTTGAAATTGTTTTAAAAAGTTCTTGATGTTGACAACAAAAATATACCACCTAACCTAACCTAACCTAACCTAACCCTCACCTAACCTAACCTAATCTGTAGTATATAACCTCTATTAATTTTAGCACTTGTTAATATAACCAGCAATCAATTACAGTGATCTCGATAAAAAAAATATATTAAACTTAATATAAATTACTCTTTATAAACAATGAGAAAAATAATGAACAGTTTCTCACATTTCCTTATCTATAATTAGAACATTATAAATCTATTTCTTAAGATAATAAATATATATGGATTTTTTATTGGAATTTTTTAAATAAAATATCTATTTTTTCAGATAGTACCATTATTAATTGACTTTTTGAAAATTGAATTATATTTAACGGAAGAAGAACAATTAATGCTGCAAGAGATAATGGATAGAGATGAGGACGAGCTCACAGACTTAGTAATGGTAGCTTATTCTACTATGTCTATTGCATACTAATATATGTATATCAAGAATGAACATTAATTACATAATTATTTGCAAATTAAATCCATACAAAAATCAATTTAAAAGTCACATGAAAATAGAGGCGTTACTTAAATTCTAATGTTACATCCTTGTTTCAGTGGAAATCTAACATGAATATAAACATGAACGAACCAGAAAGAAGATCGGCAGAACTAAAATTTATTATTGGAACAATCGTAAGCTATACATACGATGGTAGAACTCATTTTGGGGTTATAGTTGGTTGGCACAATTATTTCAATCTCAATTCAATATCTGGCATTGAGTTTGATATGTTACCGTATAATTATTCAAATATATCATGCGAAAATGTTGAAAATTGTACAAATCGTAGGTGTTTGATGCATAAACCATACTACATAATTTTCTCGAACAATAACAAATACTGTTATGTAAAACAAGGTATATTATCATTTGGAATGGCGATATTATCACATATAAAATATCTCTAGTAAATCTCTTTCATTTGTAGCACAGTAAACGTGTAAAATATATTAAATTTTCTCTTTATTTCAGAGAATGTATCCATATGTTCTTCAGCAAGACGGATCTATCATGACGAGATAGGACGATATTTTTCTAGATATGAATATACTTATTATGTACCGAATGAAATGCTAGCAAAGGATTATCCATATGACATTGCTATAATTAACTATTTCATGCATCATGAATTGGTTATGTTACCTTAAAAGGTTTAGGATATATACACGATTCAAACATTTTTATACAGAAATTACAAATATTATAATATGATAAGAATATTCTACATAGAAATATTTATATTGCTTTTATATATAAATACTCTTTATTTTTCTTATTTTAATTCAACTTTTCTTATTTTCTCCTATTTGGACGTGTGTATTAAGATAGATGAAGATTAATTTAACTTTAATGTGTGTTTATTATATAAAAATAAGGTCACATCTCTTGTCTTCTTTTAATAATATCTATTCGTAAACAAACTGACCTCAGCTATGCTGTATATAGTTATTTAAATGTATCTACATAAAATGAGTAATATAAATATTTTGGCATTGAAGTATATGTGTTGTATATGTGTTTATATTTATCAGTATATAATAGTACTTTTTCGCATTGCCAAAGATATTTTTTTTTAAATTGGCATTTACTTATGACAGCCCTCAGATAGATTTTTTACTTGAAAGCTGACAGATCCCAAAAACTCTAAAAATTCCATATCCGGCAGCCAATCGGTATATACATAATGATGCATAAATGTATATGTATATATGTATGCATGTACGCAAAAGAATGCATGTTCTATTCATTGTAATCAGTTTGCAATGCTGATCTCCAGAGTGAGTTGAATAGTTAAAAGCGTTATATCGACGTAATTTCGTTTGATTTATTTCATGAATATTCGATTGTACGACTTATCGGCACTATCGCGTTTGGCGTTATTTTGTAGCATTTTTATTGTGCACCTAATTTGAAAGAGACGCAGCATAGCATCAAAATATAAATTATACATTATAGTGAGGCGCATTTTGCTTAAATTGACGATATTTAGGAATGTGCCATGCATGAAAATATCTTAGTAAAACGCGAATTACATATGTTGCTCACAATACACTTAAATTCACGTGTTATGCCTAAATTGATGAGATAAAAATATTACATGGATGGAAATCAATTTTATTACATCACTTGTTTTTCAAGAATTACACAAACGAACGTGAGAAAGAAAGCTCCACAAGAAACTTTATAAATATTGTACGATATCAGATTTTATAAGATGAGTACAGAAATGTGCAAAGTGTTGATGAATCGGAGAGTCTTGCGTTTGATTAAAAAAGAAAAAAAAGAAAGTTGTATAGAGACTCAAATTTCTGCTCGAAAAATATATGTTAGTTATGAAGCGTTCATTAATATTTCGTGATATTATCTTCCTACTTTTTCTCATTATGATTCGATTCTTTTTACTAATAGAAAGATGAAGTGATAAAGTGACAAGGTTCACTCGATGTCATAAAAATGCCACATGAAATCACATCAATTTTATTTAATTGTTATTCTGGAAAAAATGATGACACCGTGAAGCTATTGACAAAATAATATTCACAATTTATTTTATTAAATTACATTTTTATTAAATTAATACACATTTTTTTGAAGAATCCATTATTAATAATTTTTTATCATAATTATAACTATATAATAATAAATCATTGCCACTTCGTCACAATTTCAAAAATTTCATTACCCCGCATACATCCTTTCTTATATAGCATTAATGTTATTTGCTAAGAAATGTTCTTATATATATCTATCCCTGTAATCGATAAATTATCGTAGCTTACTATAACTCGAATTATCGATACAAAAAAAAAAAAAATTCTTTTTTATTTCTATCGGTCATGCAAGCTACAAATGTTATTACCGAACCGATAGTTTCCAGTATACATGTTCAGAATTGCGAGTTATCGAAGAATCGGGAAACTCTTTTTATTAAAATAATCGATTTGTATCAAAATCAGAATTTGTAAAAATCGATCTGGACGATCGATTCGGAATCAAATATTCCTATCGACAAGTAAACCTACTCGGCTATTTGGATCGAATAAATGCTACAGTATTTCTTCGTGTGCTCACATAGCATGATAAAAAATAGTTATATAAAACCAAGAGATACGTTTGTTACGATTATATAGTGAAATTTTGTATTTTGTTTTATCACGACGTTTCATATCATTATTATCACGATGGTTACAATAATGTCATTGTCTAACGAAGTGATTAATATTATTCTGGAGAATGTCAGCATCAAGGACATCGAGAACTTTAGTTCTACGTGCAAGAAATTTAGACAAACATCATGGGGCAATAAATTTTGGATGAAAAAGCTCTATCAGAAGTATAATTTTTTTGTTTGTTTTTCGCATGATCTTTTACAAGATGTTTGATCAAAAACCTAACAAAATATGAAATTATAGAGATTTTACATTTCAATTTTATTAATTTAATTCAAGCATTGATAATATAACTTTTCCTTAAAATCGAAAATATAAAAAGTTACATGATCGCCTGAATTAAAATAAAAGTGCAAAATTTATAAGTTCATATTTCCAAATTTAGCCAAGTTCTTGAAAAAACATTTCGTTTAAAAACCGTATGCACAAAATGAAAACTTCTTACATATATATAATGATATCTTGCATTTTTTGCAAAATTTACCCCTTATGCAGTGACATTGTTTCGTATAATTTTCAAAAAATATGTAACATAACTTTTCTTTGAATTGTAGTTGGCCTTCTATAAGAAAATTTTATGATAGGATGCCGAGCGAAAATCTTGAAAAATTAGATTTTAAAGAAGAAGTAAAAGCAGTCGCAAAATATACAAAAGAAATTTGGAGTTCGATATCTCAGATATCCATGGATAATTTAGGCGATTTACTTATTATTGACAAGAAAAAATTGATTTTAAACTTCCTTTACAGAAACCGGCAGCCTAAGAATTTTTATATTGTTATAGATGAGCTTAGAAGAATAATTTTGCAAAGTCCATGGTATACAACTCAATAAACTAAACTGATATTTAGATGTGATACAATATTATAAATTAATACAATTAAATAATTAATGTACAATATAAATGATGTATTAAATTATTAATATATTAATTTGTCAGGATATCTGGTTGCGATTTGACGCAGAGATATTATAGCTGTCATATTCTTCGACAAATAAAGTATTATCATACCAAGCACAAATTGCTAAAATTTAGAAATAGAAACCAATTTCATAAAGTTTTGGAAAAGATGGTTACTCTTCTGGTGCTATGGTTCAATATTGACAATGATATCTCTTACACACACGTCGTAAAACCGTCATTGGATTATGTTGCAGAAAATGTGTTGCAAATTCTTAGAGAAGAATATCCTTCGCATCCTATATTTACGATATTTAGTGTATTTCAAAATTATTGGAAAAGCCATAATGTCTTTTACACTTATTGGGACTACAAAGAAATATTGGCGATTTTGATTATACTCGAAAGAATTGTATTCTCTCCAACGAATTTCCACAAATTAAATCAAATATGGAGAAAATCAAATGGAAATGTGTCTGAAATTGTTGTAAGTTATTATAATAAATTATTATGTTCCATTATTCTATGAACTGACAGTTATACTCATTATTTTCATTGTTATTTATAGGTTTCAGAAGGCACCCAATGTATATTTTTCCTAACAATATATCACAGTGTAATGCGAAGACTCGGCATACACTCCACTATAGCTACAAGCAATATACTTCAAATTTTTCTGAAATCCACAGAGTAAGCATAACTTTAACTTTGGAGAGAGAAAGAAAGAACTATTCGATCTTTCTGGTTTTTATTCTCATCACATACGCGTGAGCATTTTTCATTTTTAGCATATCATAATTTGCAAGAGGTTACATAATTTATATATTTGTCTTCTAGATCTCTGATTTTATCCTATTCTTAGTTTTTGTAATTTGCGCAAATATGATATTCAGAAAATATAATATTCTTAAGCACAATATCCGCTGTTTCTTTTTCAATAATTATCATTGATTACGCGTATGTGTGTTTGTATGTTGCCTGTATGTACATATTTTTTTTTTATGTTTTCAGTGTTACAAAACGTCCAGAATATTTTTGTGTGGAATGGAGAAATGGTCAATTCTACGTGGAGAACACTATCCGAGGGGGTGATTATGACAGAAATATGTTAGTTGATCATATATTATTAACAAAAAATAATCACTATAGTGTGTTAAAGGTGAATAGTATTGAAACTATTAATAACATAAAAATATGTTTTAGACAAAAGTTGCTCGTATGGATGAAAGACATCTGATGATGTAATCAGTTATGTAGTTTAACTTTATTTTCAAGGTCATTTCAAAATCAACTCAATTTTTTAAAATAAAATAATATACTTTTTGTTGTCAGCATCATCAAGAACTTTTCAAGACAATTTCAACAATCCTAAATAACGTATCATTTAATTAATATCGTGGAGTTAGAGAGAGAGACCAAAGCGCAAATATGCAGTGGCAGTCCTGTTAACTTGGCATTTTAGAAACAACAAAAAGAAAAACAATAAACTCTCTTGATTACTTTTTAATATAAATATTCAAATTGATGACCGTTAATGTTCAAATATTTTACAAGTCTTTCATGAAGATTGGATATTATTCATTTGACAGTTTTTATTTTCATTATTAGTTTATTTTGATTTTATTTTCAACAAATAGCAGAATATACTGAAACGATGAAAAGCTTGTACATGAAGAAATGGAGTGAATGTCAGTATTTATATAAGTTAACGCACAGGTAATACGATGCAAACTCGCGCTAATTCAACGAGGTTCGTGCTGCCACTGTGTATTTGCGCATTGGTCTCTCTCTAATTTTACGATATTAATTAAATAATACATTATTTAAAATTGTTGAAACTGTTTTAAAAAGTTCTTGATGATGTTGACAACAAAAGTATACCATTCTGTATACGACTTCTATTAATTTAGCAGTAGTTAATATAACCAACAATTAATTATAGTGATCTTGATAAAAAAATATATTAAACTAATATAAATTACTCTTTATAAACAATGAGAAAAAATAACAAACAGTTTCTCACATTTTCTTATCTATAATTAGAATATTATAAGTCTATTTCTATTTCTTAAGATAATGAATATATAGATTTTTTATTGGAATTTTTGAAATAAAATATTTGTTTTTTTAGGTAGTACCATTATTAATTGACTTTTTGAAACTTGAGTCAAACTTAAAGAAAAAAGAACAGGTAATGCTGCAGCAGATAATGGAAAGGGAAGAGGAAGAGATCACAGACTTAGTAATGGTAACTTACTCTACTATGTCTATTGCATACTAATATATGTATATCAAGAATGAACATTAATTACATAATTATTTGCAAATTAAATCGATACAAAAATCAATTTAAAAGTCACATCAAAATAGAGCGTTACTTAAATTCTAATGTTACATCCTTCTTCCAGTGGGAATCTAACGTGAATATAAAAAAGAGCCAACCAGAAAAAAGATCGGCAAGACTAAAATTTATTATTGGAATGGTCGTAAACCATGCATATAATAACTATAGTAGGATTCATTTTGGGGTTATAGTTGGTTGGCACAATTATTTCAATCTCGATTCAGTATCTGGCATTGAATTTAATATCTTACCGGATAATTATTCAAATATATCATGCGGAAATGTTGTAAATTGTACAGATTATATGTGTTTGATGCATAAACCATACTACATAATTTTATGTAACAATAACGAATACTGTTATGTACCACAAGGTATATTTTATCATTTGAAAAAGCTATAATATCGCATATAAAGTATCTCTAGTAAATCTCTCTCATTTGTAGCACAGTAAAATATATTATATTTTCTCTTTATTTCAGAAAGTATATCGATGTGTTCTTCAACAAAATGGATCCATCATGACGAAATAGGACGATATTTTTCTAAATACAAATATACTTATTATGTACCAAATAAAATGTTAGCAAGGGATTATCCATATGACGCCGCTATAATTAATGAAATAATGCGTAATCAATAGTTTATGTTACAAAAGATTTAGGATATATACACGAATACTTCAAACATTTTTATACAGAAATTACAAATATTATAATATGATAAGAATATTCTACATAGAAATGTTTATATTGCTTTTATATACAAATACTCTTTTTATTTTTCTTATTTTAATTCAACTTTTCTTATTTTCTCCTATTTGGACGTGTATATTAAGATAGATAAAAATTAATTTAATTTTAATGTTTATTATATAAAATAAGGTCACATTTCTCATCTTCTTTTAATAACATTGACTCGTAAATAGGAAACTTTATAAATATTGTACGATATCAGATTTTATAAGACAAGTACAGAAATGTGCAAAGTGTTGATGAATTGGAGAGTCTTGCATTTGATTGAAAAATAAAGAAAAAAAAGTTTTATAAAGACTCAAATATTTACACGAGAAACATATGTTACGAAGTGTTCATTAATGTTTTATGATATTACCCTTCTTTTTCTCATTATAATTCAATTTTTTTTTACTAATAGGAAAATGACGTGATGAAGTGACATGATTCCCTCGATGTCATAAATGCCACATGAAATTACATCAATTTTACTTAATTTTTATTTTGGGGAGAATGGTGATACCGTGAAACAGTTGACAAAATAATATTCAGAATTTATTTTATTAAATTACATTTTTATTAAATTAATACACATTTTCTTCGAAAATCTATGTTTAATAATATTTTATCATAATTAGAATTAAAATCATCGTCATTTCGCCACAATTTAAAAAATTTTATTGCCCCGCATATCTTTCTTACAGTCAATCAACGTTATTCGCTAATATTCTTACCTCATGCCTATAATCAATAAAAGTATCGTAGCTTACGATAACTCTCGATACGAATCGTATATAGAAAACAGAATCCACGTTATTTTTGTCGGTCGTGCAAGCTACAAACATTGTTACCGAACCGACAGTTTCAAGTATACGTGTTCAGAATTGCGAGTTATCAAAGATCGGAAAACGATTTTTTATTAAAATAATCGGTTTGTATCAAAATCAAAATTTTTAGAACTCGATCTGGAAGATCGATTTGAAATCGAACATTTCTATATCGATAAATAAATCTACTCGGATATTTGGATCGAATAAATACTACAGTATTTCTTCGTGCGTTCACATAGCGTGATCAGAAATAGTTATATAAAATCAAGAGATATGTCTGTTATGATTAACTCGTGAAATATTGTATTTTGTTTTATCACGACGATCATTATTATCACAATGGCTACAATAATGTCATTGTCTAACGAAGTGATTATTGTTATTCTGAAGAACGTCAGCATCAAGGACATCAAGAACTTTACTTCTACGTGCAAGAAATTTAGACAAATATCATGGGACAATAAACTTTGGATGAAAAAGCTCTATCAGAAGTATATTAGTTTTTTATTTATTTTTCGTAAATTCTTTTACGGATGTTTTATCAAGAACCTAAAATATGAAATTATAGAGATTTTATATTTCTATTTTATTAATTTAATTCAAGAACTAATAATATAACTTTTCTTTAAGATCGAAAATATAAAAAGTTACATGATTGTCCGAATTGAAATGAAAGTGCAAAATCTATAACTTTGTATTTCTAATTTTAGCCAAGTTGTTGAAAAAGTATTCCATTTAAATACCTGATATACAAAGCGAAAATTTGTTAGATGTTAACAATGAAATTTTACGCTTTTTGCAACATTTTCCCGATGAAAAATTGTGCATCTGAAAATTTACCTCTTATGCAATGATGTTGATTGGTGTAATTTTCAAAAAATATATAACAAAATTTTTCTTTGTATTATAGCTGGCCTTCTACAAGGAAAATTTATGATAGCATGACGAGCGATGATCTTTTTAAATTAGATTTTAAAGAACAAGTAAAAGAAGCTGTAAAACATAGGAAAGAAATGTTGGATTTGATAGCTCAGATATCCAAGATTAATTTAGACAACACTTACAAGAAGAATATAATTTCAAACTTCCTTTGCACAACCGTGCATTCTATAAATAATTATATTGCTATAGATGAGCTTAGAAGAATAATTTCGCAAAGTCCATGGTATTAGAATTCAATAAACTAAACTGATATTTATATGAGATACAATATTATAAATTAATATATTTAAATAATTAATGTATTAAATAATTAATATGTTAATTTGTCAGGATATCTGGTTGCGATTTGACGCACAGATATTATAGCTGCCATATTCTTCGACTAGTGAAGTATTATCATATCAGGCACAAATTGCTACAATTTAGATGTAAATTGAAAAGACAACAAATTTTGGAACAGATGGTTACTCTTCTGATACAATGGTTCAATGTTAAGACTGATCTCTCTGATGATATCTCTTACTCGCACATAAAAGCGTCGTTGGATCATATCGCAGAAAAGGTGTTGCAAGCTCTTAAAGAACAACATCCCTCGCATCCTATATTTATGATGTGTGATACTTTTTATGATTATTGTAAAAACAATAACGTCTCTCCCACATATTGGAACCACGAAGAAACATTGAAGATTTTGATTGTACTCGAAAAAATTGTATTCTCTCCATCGTATTTCCACAAATTAGATCAATTATGGATAAAATTACATAAAAATGAGTCTGAAATTGTTGTAAGCTATTATGTTCCATTATTCTATGAATTGACAATTATACTCATTGTTTTCATCGTTATTTATGGTACAGGTTTCACGAGGCTTGCAAAGTATATTTTTCTTAACAATATATCAAGGTGTAATGCGAAGATTGGGCATATATTCCATTGTAATTACAGAAAATATGCTTCAAATTTTTTTGAAACCGACAGAGTAAGCATAACTTTAACTTTGAAGAGAGAGAGAGAGAGAGAGAGAGAGAGAGAGAACTATTTCGATCTTTTTGGTTTTTATTCTTATCACATATGCGTGCGCATTTTTCATTTTTAGCATATCATAATTTATAATAATTTGTTACATAATTTATATATATATTTGTTTCCTAGATTTCTAATTTTATTCTATTCTTAGTTTGTGTAATTTGCGAAGATATTACATTTAGAGAATATAATATCCTTAAGCATAATGCGTTGCTCCTTTTTCAGTAATTATCATTGATTACGCATACATCTGTGTACATGTATATGTGTGTGTGTGTGTGTTGCCTGTATTATATATATTTTTTTAATATCCTCAGTATTACAAAACGTCCAGAGTATATTGGTATACAACTGAAAAACGACCAATTCTGCTTAGAGAACGTTATCAAGAGGGATAATCGTGACAGAAATCATTTACTGGTTGGTTGGCAATTATTTATATATAACTTTTATTAATTTTAACAGTAGTTAGTATAATCAGCAATCAATTATAGAGACCTTGGTAAAAAACTATGTTCAACTAATATAAATTACTCTTTATAAACGATGAGAAAGAAATAACAAACAGTTTTTCACATTTCTTTGTCTATAATCAGAACATTATAAGTCAATTTTTTTAAATAATATGGATACATGGATTATTTATTGAACTTTTTAAGATAAAATATCTATTTTTTTCAGATAAAACCAACATTAATTGAATATTTGAAAATACGAGAAAAAAACTTAAACATACAGGACGAAGGGCAATTATTAATACTATGGCATATAATGGAAGGAAAACATGCAGATGTCACAGACTTAATGAATGTAACTTATACTCTACTATGTCTATTGCATACTATAATATAAAAAATGAAAATTGATTATATAATTATCTGCAACTTAAATCGATACAAATATCAATTTAAAAGAGAGGCATTAATTAAATTTTAATGTTACATCTTTCTTCCAGTGGGAATCTAACGTGAATATAAGAAAACGCGAACCACAAAAAAGATCGGCAGAATTAAAATTTGTAATTGGGACGATTGTAACCCATAAATATAAAAACAAAAATAAAACCTCCACTCATCATGGAGTTATAGTTGGTTGGCACCATTACTTCAATTTCGATTCAATATTTGGCATTTTTAAGACCTTACCGAATAATTACTCAAAAATATTAACATGTAAAAATATTGAGAATTGTACAGATCCTAAGTGTTTGGTGCATAAACCATACTACATAATTTTCTGTGACAATAACGTATATTGTTATGAACGACAAGGTATATTATTATTTGTAAAGGCTATAATATATCGTATATAAAATATCTCTAATAAATCTTTCTCATTTGTAGCATAGTATGCGTGTAAAATATTACATTTTTTCTTTATTTCAGAAAAGATATCGATATGTTCTTCAACAAAATGGATCCATCATGACGAGATAGGTCGATATTTTTCTAAATATGAACGTACTTATTATGTACCGAATGAAATGCTAGCAAGGGATTATCCATATGACGTCGCTATAATTAACAAAATGATGCGTAATCAATAGATTATGTTACATTAAAAGGTTTAGGATACATATAATCTTTTCAGTTTTTTTATTTTAATTCAATTTTTCTTATTTTCTCCTATTTGTATGTATTAAGATAGATAAAGATTAATTTAATTTTAATGTTTATTATATAAAATAAGGTCATATATCTCTCGTCTTCTTTTAATAACATCGACTCGTAAACACACATACAAAAAATACATAATATAAATATCTTGACATCGAAATATTATATGTATTGTGTATGTTGTGTTATATTATTTATATGTATTTATATTTATTAGTATATAATTGTACTTTTTCATATCAAGAAAGATATTTTTTTTTAATTAGCATTTACTTATGACAGCCCCTAGATAGATTTTTTATTTGGGATCTGATAGACCCCAGAAACTCTAGAAGTTCCCTATCCAGTAACCAATCCGGACATCCAAGAGATAAGAAGGATACATAAATCTGTATGACAGTCTACATTCTATAGTACTTATTATTCTATGGTTGAATTTGGGTGAATCGTTTATTGTCCGGACAATCGACCGGATTTCTGTTCGTTATCACATACGTGTTGGCAACTATATTCGAGATGATTAACACTTTCCGTCTGATATATCGGCAAAACCCTCATCAATTTCGTCAATTTCACAAATGGTGAGATTGAGATGTCTCGAATTTATATATATATTATCGTGTAAAAATGCATGGTTACATAACCTTATTTGTCGGTTATTTTAACTCGGGAAAGAATATATATTTATACATAATTTTATTTGGTAAAGACTAAAAATAATTTGATTCAATAAAATTATAAGAAAAGTCTAGTAGTAAATATATTAGGTAACTTTCTCGAGTTGGAAGCATTCCTAAAAAAAAAATGATTATTTCAATGATATATTTGTTGCGTTTAGCATGATTCGACGAGCGGAATCGAGTTCTGCGGCAACAACGGAAATGGCAACATCGCCACCACAACCAGCACCACCACCTCCATCACGTGCCGACAAAGTGGTGAACCCGAAAATCGACAAAATAGCTAACGACATAAGCGCTCTCAATCTGGTAGAAGTAGCGCAGCTTAGTGATCTGTTAAAGAGACGATTAAATCTGCCAGATGCACCTATCATGCCTATGGGAGGATTTGCTGTCGCGCCTCAGGTTGAGGTAACTTTTACATTACTGTAATGTTATATATATGTATATGTATATATAAACATGCATTATACAAGTTTCAATTTATGGAACGTAACTCTTTTTTGCAAAAGTTTTTACTATATTTAATTAAATTTGGATTGCTGCTGTGCTTCAGGCTGAGGTAATATTATTATGTTTAATTAAATTAGAAAATAATGGAAAATAGAATTAAGTTCTTGATCAATTTTTATAGAGTTGTTGAAGAGAATTATTTTTTATTTTTTCCTACTTAGGAAGAAGAAGAGCAAACAAAAAAACAAGTACAAACATCATTTACTGTTAAATTAACAGGATTTGATGATAAACAGAAAGTTGCCCTAATAAAGGAAATAAAGAGCCTACTACCCGACACAAATCTTGTTCAGGTATTAAATTATCGACTTTTTAAATATCAAATATAGTATTATTGAAAATTAATTGAGTTTTATGTTGTACAAAAATAGGCGAAAAAGTTTGTCGAAAGTGCACCTACGATAGTGAAGGCGGATCTAGCAAAAGATGAAGCAGAGAAGTTGAAAGACTCTCTGACAAAGGTCGGTGCTAAAATCGAGATCATATAAATCATATGTGTGATTACATATATTGTTATGTATATCTGTAATATTATACAGTAAAAATTTATCACTATATAGCGATGCTTTCTACTACTCCTATATTGCAGAAAACTGTGTAACATTCCAGTTTTGTTATTACACATTTGTAAGATTCTAACATTCATAAAATTAAATCATTTCAATATATATAAGTATCTTTATGTGTAATATATTTTTTTGCAAAAATCGAATTATCTCTCAGTCATGCAATATAATATCTTTCTTCTTTCGATTAATGAATAATATTTCTAAAGGACTTATAATCCAAAAAGTAAATATAATTTAATAAAAATATATATATATATATATATGTATATATACATTTATATATACTCAATATTTTGAAATCCCATTTCCATAAAAAATTTATTTTCCCTCACAATTTATCATCTTTAACTGCTCATGATGGTTGTATATATGAATGTATGTGTACGTATAGTTATTTTAAATTAAAATAATTTTGTTGAATCTTTCTGAAGGTTACTGGATGTTTTTCCTTTTCTAAATTTTCATTCTTGCCAATTTTTAAAAAGATAATCTCTGTATTGCGATCAGGGGCTTCACAGAGAGTAAATATTCACTGATAGATAATTATTTAAAAAAAGCTATCTACAAAAATTGATGGAGGGTGATGGGTGAAACATTCTTTAGAATATTCAATTTACTTAATAAACACCGCAATTATTTTCGATAAAAAAGATTAAAATATCTATCAGAAACTTGAATATTCGAAACACTCTCTCTCTTAATTTTCTACGTTTTTCGCAATAAGATACACGATAATACAATCGAACAAGTATTCCAAAGTACTTGCGAATTGAACGAATGGCGCTGCGATGGCCATATCGATAAAATAAAAGTGTCTATATATATATATATTCTACAGAAGATTTCGACAAGAGTAGCCACTACGGATACGAGGTTGATCGATCGCCGACGCAATCGAGTCGACGTCGACGACGCGAGGCGACGCTACTGCCAGCCACGACTACTGCCACGATGGCCGAGGAGGCTGACATAAACGATAACGCGGCGATGGAAAGTATAGCGCAAAACATACTAGAGGTGCGTATGACGCGGCGACGATTAACGGGCGACCCCGGGGAAACCGGGGATTTAATCGACGACGCGGGTGATCGCGAACGGTACGCGCGATCGGCGACTGACCGGAGGTTATAACCCAAAGTGCCGTTTCCCTTTCAATTTTGACAGGTCAGTGCCGGAGGTGGTGGTGGCTCGTCGGACACCGAGGTGGGCGCGTTGCACTTTCAGGCGTCGCAGGTGATCGCGCGGCTCGAGCAGGCGGTGGAACGGGAGGCCGATGGCCACGGCGGCACCACGTGGAACAACCCCTCGGGATTCCTGTCGCAACCGAAGAAACCGGACGAGATATTGGCGTTGATACAGGTGAGCGAATGAATGTGTATGTTGCATGTATGTATGTGTGTAGGCGTGTTCGCTAGCAGAAACCAATGGGCGAGCGCGATTGGCCGTTCCGGTAGCGCGATAGCTCCGATGATTGCTTATCACGTGGCCGCGGTGTTTTGTGCTACGTCTCCGTTGTGATTGCATGCTAATAAACGTGAGTCTGAATTTGCGATTCAAAAGAGATGCATATTTTTTTAGCAAACTTGATGTTTTTTTAATAAACCATAGACATTATTCTTTATATTTTTATTTAATAAGCGTAATTCTTTCGCATTATTGTCTTTTGATTGTCATGTATGTCTATTTTATATTTTATTAAATTTCTCATTATATGTTTATTACCATTTATGCCATTTAATGAACATATAATGAGAAATATAATAAAATATATATTTATGAAAAAAATGTATAATATAAACATGTAATATTTTATATTTTTTCAATTTAATTTTTTGCATGATTGTAAAGTCGAAAGATATGATAGATAATAATTAATATTAATATATGACTGATAATAATTAATATCGTGAGAAAATAAAAACGCCCGATTTCATTAGAAAATTTCTGTTCTACAGGACTTGGTAATTCACGAGGACGCGCCGCAACCAGGCGAGGCAGAATCCGCGGACGCACCGATCAGTCAAATCACAGCTCTGCCAACTCTAACCGAGGAGGTGAAATTAGCCTTAGTCACGCACACCGTTTCAGCTTACGCGATAGCGCTACCAAAGTCGCACGCGCAAAAGCTCGCCGGTCGTCTCGCGGCCGACACGACGAGATGGCTCAGTCACATCTTCCGTTTCGTCGATTGCGCGTCCTCCTTTCACGAGGATCACCTGGAGGGACTGGTCAGGGTGACGCGGCTCGCCCTACACCGAAAATATCCTCGATACATGGAGGAGGGCTTTACCGCTCTCGTGTCTCAGACTCCTCTAATTTACAGCTCTGTCGCTGCACCTTTAGGCGTCGTTCAACACTTGTGCAGACAGGTGATATTCCTCGATCCTTTTTTTCAGCGATTATTGTGGGATATATATCGTAAAAGAGTTTGAAGATCAATGATTTAAACATACATTAAAGATTTGTTATGTTTCCACAGCTCTCTTTGCCTCTTCATTGTATAAGACCAATCCCACATAACACTATATTTGGCTCGAGGCATGCCATGGATGTCTCGGCATTGGAGCGACGCTTAGCGGAGGACACTCAATCGAACAACGTGACACCGTTGTTGGTGCTAGCTGAAGCCGGTTCGGTATTAACGGGTCATTGCGACAATATTACGCGATTACGAGCGATATGCGACAAATACAACGTCTGGCTACATCTCAGAGGACATTCACTGGCTGCGCTCGCGTTGAATAACTCTACGAAAGATTTGGTAACTGTTTGCCTAATGTGCTATTGACAAAGTATGGCTCATCTCTTTTCATTGTCAAACATTTTTTTCGAACTTGTTTTTATTTTTTTATGTTGCAGCCGTCAAAGATAGCAGACAGCATTACATTACCACTTGGCACATGGTTAGGTATACCTTCGCTACCAATAGTCGTATCCTTTTATGAGATTTCTTGATATCTTTAAGAATATAAATGATAAAATAATAATAATTATAGTATTTGAAATTGAATTAAAATGTTAAAATATTTTGGAGGTACCAGGTACCTAAGATTTAATTTTTACTGTCTTTATATTCACTATTATTTATTTATCACCTTTTATGATGTTCTTTTACACATTATGTCAATTAATTATTGCTTCGATTTTCCTTAATATTCGCTTATAGACATTGTATAGATTAGCAGATATTAAAGGAGGAAGGCCTACTCCAAGAGATACTACCCTGTCGCTAGTCTCAGGACTGATGGCAGATTCACTATCGAGAAGATTGCCAACTTTACCCTTGTGGGCCGTTCTGCAAGCTCTAGGTCGAGACGGAGTATACAACAGATTTAGAAGATGTTTCTTGGCTGTGGAAGAGTTGTACAATAAGATTAAAGAGTTCTCTTGCATTAGAATATTGGTAAGTTTCTCCAGTAGAATGTACGCTCTTCGCTGAAAAAAAGAAAGTATGCAATAAGATTAAAATTTATCGTTCATTCTCTTTCAGAGTCAATCACCAGGCAGTGAAACGGAATCTTACACTTTAAGCGAATATCTCGCAAACAATCCTGTAAACAATCTACAGTTATTTGAAGTTGTAGCGAGCGCGTTAGTTTTCCAATTTGTACCGGCGCACAAGGATCTTCAAGCCTCGGAGCGAGTACTACCCTATTACGACAAATTAAACTCCTGGTTGGGGCAGATTCTTCAGAGGGACATTGACAATGTACAAATAGAACTTTGTGATATAGAACAGTGCGGTGTCGCGATTCGAATCTGTCCGTTGGAGAATCCCGATCAGCCGCCTACGACCGAAGATATAGATAATCTAGTGACCTGTCTTGAACAACAAATAGTAAGAATGTCTTGGATTTCGTCGGTCTGTATTCCTACCGAACGTATAACTATAAATGTGTATCGCATTTCTTTTTATAATCTCTTCTTTTAAACGAATATCTTAAACCGGTAAAGCATTTAACGTTGAAGATACGGTAGGAATACGGTACCAAACGTTTCGAATTAATCATCGACACTAATTAAAAGTTCATCAGTAACGCCATCGCAATTTCGTTGAATAGGAAATATTACTAGCGACAGTGGAACACAAAGACACCTTCGTACGTTTAGTCTCAGAGAATGATTCTTTACATTTAGTGGAAATGCCGGGTTGGGCGGGTTTGGGAGGTGTGCGTTACGCTCCGCCTACTTGGATTCACGTTATGACCGATCAGGCAAGGGAAGAACTAAACAAACTAAATACGCAATTGGTCGAAATGCTACGCAGCACGGACGCCGCATTTTCCCTCGGAGAAGGCGCAGACGGCCTGGCTTGCGTACGATTTGGCATGGTGACGCAAGACACGGGTAAGGACAAAACGCGCTTTTTTTAATACCTATGCGATTCCACATATTATATTATCTTTCATCGAAAACACTACGACATTATTTCCAGACGTTGCCGAACTGTTATCCTTAGTCTTGCAAGTTGGCCAAGAGGTTGAAGCCAGTTCTAAAATGATGGATACCATCTCTGAAGTAGTTAAGAGAGGTATCGAGACAGCGCAAACCGATCTTGAGAGGGAAAACGCAGAGAAACTATGGCAGGAGGGTATTCTTAGGCATGTCCCCGTAGTAGGAACTTTTGTCAATTGGTGGAGTCCTATTTCGAAGGAAACGGGCGTTCGCGGTCGTAGTCTAAATTTGCAAGCTGGTAATTGTAAATTTTATATAGAGATATTTACATACACAAAATGATTATAATATAAATAATATATCTCGTATAATACGTATCTGTTGAAATAGGTATTGTGGAGAGTACGGAAAATATCTACAAATACCATATGCAACTGCAACCTAATTTCGCAAACAGCAATGGTTCCGGTGCTAGAACTCCGCCCCAACCGCTAGTGCAAACACCAGTTGGTGCTAGTAGTCAGAGTCATAGTCGATCGTCCAGTCATTCTAGCCTACAGAGCGGTAAGAGCATGCCTCTGATAAACAGTGCCAGTTTCCAGCCCCAAGTGAAGGAAGAGTCGGGGCAAACATTGAAGTCGTAGTAAACATTTTTACCGTTATGGATACGCGTCGAGAGCACATAGTTTCCAAGTCATCGTTAAACTTGGCATAAGAGCGATATTACTTTGAACATGAAACGTTCAGATGTTTCCCACCTCCAGGTATTCTTTATATCTGCAAAATATTAGACGTAATCTGTAGAACTTATTTGCTCGATAAAACAAAGCGCGCGCGACAGTTTAACTTTTCCTTGCCGCTAATACTTTCGACCAGCTGTTTCTCACCTTTTCACGTAATGTCTCCGCAGACTCTCTTTCAAAAACTTCGCTATTAAACGATCGCGACTTAATCATGGGATGGTCCATGTACTTACTAGACTGATACACGTAGCGATGTTACTTTTATAAGTTCACACATAACAATTTTACACCTGTTAACCTGTAATACCTGTTAACGCGTCAAATTTGTACGCATATTCGCGATTCGTTTTGATGTTTCGGCAATCAGTTTCGCGTTTATTTTCCTCGTGGCATGTCTTTTTATTCCGATTAACAGCGGTCCAGCCACGGAGATGTAGAAACAAGCATGAATCTTGACGCATATTGCATACATTACAGATAGATTTGTGATGAATCCATGAAAAGAATGCGAATGAATGCGAATTTTCTTTCCACTCAAGGCGAACTGCGAATAAGTAGACATAGTCTGGCATAGTCTAGCTTTATGAAACAATTTAGAGCAAGACCATTTTCTCTTCTAATTAGTTATTTTCTGCTTCTCCTTCTCATATCTTATTAATATCAATTTGCTTGATAAAATATTCTTTTTTAGAATATGTTGCAATAAAATTATTTATTGTTAAATATAGTAAAGTTTTATATAGAATATATATTAGACACTCTTTAATTATTATGTTATTCCAAAAGATGCTTCAGTTTTTTTGTCGTCAAAATTATTTAAAAGTTTTCGCTGTTTTCAATAATTTTTATTCCCTTTAAATTACTAATCTCTAAATTTATTTTTTGTATTCGTTAAGTTTCAACTTTTCATAATCACAATACTGTAATTAAAATGTAATAAGAAAACTTTCTTTCTCTTTCTCTCCTCTCTATGTATATTTGTATCTTTTATGAGAGATTATGAAGAATAGGTACTTGTGTATGAAAATATTACAAGAAAAGTGTTCTGAAGGTATTCGAAAGGTGTAAGCAATGACTCGCCAAAGAAAAAACTTATATTCCCATCTAAATAAAATAGAAAAAAAAAATGATTTATATTATTGCTCTTGTATTATGTAATCGATGATGAAATCAAGATAAAATATTGCATTGATTAACGATAAGATCAACAAGTAAAAAATATACCGCGCAATTAGGAGATATTCGTAAATTGTTGAATAATATTGAAGATGAAAAGAAATCAAGCAGTATGAAAATATATATTTATGAAAAAAATGTATAATATAAACATGTAATATTTTATATTTTTTCAATTTAATTTTTTGCATGATTGTAAAGTCGAAAGATATGATAGATAATAATTAATATTAATATATGACTGATAATAATTAATATCGTGAGAAAATAAAAACGCCCGATTTCATTAGAAAATTTCTGTTCTACAGGACTTGGTAATTCACGAGGACGCGCCGCAACCAGGCGAGGCAGAATCCGCGGACGCACCGATCAGTCAAATCACAGCTCTGCCAACTCTAACCGAGGAGGTGAAATTAGCCTTAGTCACGCACACCGTTTCAGCTTACGCGATAGCGCTACCAAAGTCGCACGCGCAAAAGCTCGCCGGTCGTCTCGCGGCCGACACGACGAGATGGCTCAGTCACATCTTCCGTTTCGTCGATTGCGCGTCCTCCTTTCACGAGGATCACCTGGAGGGACTGGTCAGGGTGACGCGGCTCGCCCTACACCGAAAATATCCTCGATACATGGAGGAGGGCTTTACCGCTCTCGTGTCTCAGACTCCTCTAATTTACAGCTCTGTCGCTGCACCTTTAGGCGTCGTTCAACACTTGTGCAGACAGGTGATATTCCTCGATCCTTTTTTTCAGCGATTATTGTGGGATATATATCGTAAAAGAGTTTGAAGATCAATGATTTAAACATACATTAAAGATTTGTTATGTTTCCACAGCTCTCTTTGCCTCTTCATTGTATAAGACCAATCCCACATAACACTATATTTGGCTCGAGGCATGCCATGGATGTCTCGGCATTGGAGCGACGCTTAGCGGAGGACACTCAATCGAACAACGTGACACCGTTGTTGGTGCTAGCTGAAGCCGGTTCGGTATTAACGGGTCATTGCGACAATATTACGCGATTACGAGCGATATGCGACAAATACAACGTCTGGCTACATCTCAGAGGACATTCACTGGCTGCGCTCGCGTTGAATAACTCTACGAAAGATTTGGTAACTGTTTGCCTAATGTGCTATTGACAAAGTATGGCTCATCTCTTTTCATTGTCAAACATTTTTTTCGAACTTGTTTTTATTTTTTTATGTTGCAGCCGTCAAAGATAGCAGACAGCATTACATTACCACTTGGCACATGGTTAGGTATACCTTCGCTACCAATAGTCGTATCCTTTTATGAGATTTCTTGATATCTTTAAGAATATAAATGATAAAATAATAATAATTATAGTATTTGAAATTGAATTAAAATGTTAAAATATTTTGGAGGTACCAGGTACCTAAGATTTAATTTTTACTGTCTTTATATTCACTATTATTTATTTATCACCTTTTATGATGTTCTTTTACACATTATGTCAATTAATTATTGCTTCGATTTTCCTTAATATTCGCTTATAGACATTGTATAGATTAGCAGATATTAAAGGAGGAAGGCCTACTCCAAGAGATACTACCCTGTCGCTAGTCTCAGGACTGATGGCAGATTCACTATCGAGAAGATTGCCAACTTTACCCTTGTGGGCCGTTCTGCAAGCTCTAGGTCGAGACGGAGTATACAACAGATTTAGAAGATGTTTCTTGGCTGTGGAAGAGTTGTACAATAAGATTAAAGAGTTCTCTTGCATTAGAATATTGGTAAGTTTCTCCAGTAGAATGTACGCTCTTCGCTGAAAAAAAGAAAGTATGCAATAAGATTAAAATTTATCGTTCATTCTCTTTCAGAGTCAATCACCAGGCAGTGAAACGGAATCTTACACTTTAAGCGAATATCTCGCAAACAATCCTGTAAACAATCTACAGTTATTTGAAGTTGTAGCGAGCGCGTTAGTTTTCCAATTTGTACCGGCGCACAAGGATCTTCAAGCCTCGGAGCGAGTACTACCCTATTACGACAAATTAAACTCCTGGTTGGGGCAGATTCTTCAGAGGGACATTGACAATGTACAAATAGAACTTTGTGATATAGAACAGTGCGGTGTCGCGATTCGAATCTGTCCGTTGGAGAATCCCGATCAGCCGCCTACGACCGAAGATATAGATAATCTAGTGACCTGTCTTGAACAACAAATAGTAAGAATGTCTTGGATTTCGTCGGTCTGTATTCCTACCGAACGTATAACTATAAATGTGTATCGCATTTCTTTTTATAATCTCTTCTTTTAAACGAATATCTTAAACCGGTAAAGCATTTAACGTTGAAGATACGGTAGGAATACGGTACCAAACGTTTCGAATTAATCATCGACACTAATTAAAAGTTCATCAGTAACGCCATCGCAATTTCGTTGAATAGGAAATATTACTAGCGACAGTGGAACACAAAGACACCTTCGTACGTTTAGTCTCAGAGAATGATTCTTTACATTTAGTGGAAATGCCGGGTTGGGCGGGTTTGGGAGGTGTGCGTTACGCTCCGCCTACTTGGATTCACGTTATGACCGATCAGGCAAGGGAAGAACTAAACAAACTAAATACGCAATTGGTCGAAATGCTACGCAGCACGGACGCCGCATTTTCCCTCGGAGAAGGCGCAGACGGCCTGGCTTGCGTACGATTTGGCATGGTGACGCAAGACACGGGTAAGGACAAAACGCGCTTTTTTTAATACCTATGCGATTCCACATATTATATTATCTTTCATCGAAAACACTACGACATTATTTCCAGACGTTGCCGAACTGTTATCCTTAGTCTTGCAAGTTGGCCAAGAGGTTGAAGCCAGTTCTAAAATGATGGATACCATCTCTGAAGTAGTTAAGAGAGGTATCGAGACAGCGCAAACCGATCTTGAGAGGGAAAACGCAGAGAAACTATGGCAGGAGGGTATTCTTAGGCATGTCCCCGTAGTAGGAACTTTTGTCAATTGGTGGAGTCCTATTTCGAAGGAAACGGGCGTTCGCGGTCGTAGTCTAAATTTGCAAGCTGGTAATTGTAAATTTTATATAGAGATATTTACATACACAAAATGATTATAATATAAATAATATATCTCGTATAATACGTATCTGTTGAAATAGGTATTGTGGAGAGTACGGAAAATATCTACAAATACCATATGCAACTGCAACCTAATTTCGCAAACAGCAATGGTTCCGGTGCTAGAACTCCGCCCCAACCGCTAGTGCAAACACCAGTTGGTGCTAGTAGTCAGAGTCATAGTCGATCGTCCAGTCATTCTAGCCTACAGAGCGGTAAGAGCATGCCTCTGATAAACAGTGCCAGTTTCCAGCCCCAAGTGAAGGAAGAGTCGGGGCAAACATTGAAGTCGTAGTAAACATTTTTACCGTTATGGATACGCGTCGAGAGCACATAGTTTCCAAGTCATCGTTAAACTTGGCATAAGAGCGATATTACTTTGAACATGAAACGTTCAGATGTTTCCCACCTCCAGGTATTCTTTATATCTGCAAAATATTAGACGTAATCTGTAGAACTTATTTGCTCGATAAAACAAAGCGCGCGCGACAGTTTAACTTTTCCTTGCCGCTAATACTTTCGACCAGCTGTTTCTCACCTTTTCACGTAATGTCTCCGCAGACTCTCTTTCAAAAACTTCGCTATTAAACGATCGCGACTTAATCATGGGATGGTCCATGTACTTACTAGACTGATACACGTAGCGATGTTACTTTTATAAGTTCACACATAACAATTTTACACCTGTTAACCTGTAATACCTGTTAACGCGTCAAATTTGTACGCATATTCGCGATTCGTTTTGATGTTTCGGCAATCAGTTTCGCGTTTATTTTCCTCGTGGCATGTCTTTTTATTCCGATTAACAGCGGTCCAGCCACGGAGATGTAGAAACAAGCATGAATCTTGACGCATATTGCATACATTACAGATAGATTTGTGATGAATCCATGAAAAGAATGCGAATGAATGCGAATTTTCTTTCCACTCAAGGCGAACTGCGAATAAGTAGACATAGTCTGGCATAGTCTAGCTTTATGAAACAATTTAGAGCAAGACCATTTTCTCTTCTAATTAGTTATTTTCTGCTTCTCCTTCTCATATCTTATTAATATCAATTTGCTTGATAAAATATTCTTTTTTAGAATATGTTGCAATAAAATTATTTATTGTTAAATATAGTAAAGTTTTATATAGAATATATATTAGACACTCTTTAATTATTATGTTATTCCAAAAGATGCTTCAGTTTTTTTGTCGTCAAAATTATTTAAAAGTTTTCCCTGTTACTCAATAATTTTTATTCCCTTTAAATTACTAATCTCTAAATTTATTTTTTGTATTCGTTAAGTTTCAACTTTTCATAATCACATGTTATTCCAAAAGATGCTTCAGTTTTTTTGTCGTCAAAATTATTTAAAAGTTTTCGCTGTTTTCAATAATTTTTATTCCCTTTAAATTACTAATCTCTAAATTGATTTTTTGTATTCGTTAAGTTTCAACTTTTCATAATCATAATACTGTAATTAAAATGTAATAAGAAAACTTTCTTTCTCTTTCTCTCCTCTCTATGTATATTTGTATCTTTTATGAGAGATTATGAAGAATAGGTACTTGTGTATGAAAATATTACAAGAAAAGTGTTCTGAAGGTATTCGAAAGGTGTAAGCAATGACTCGCCAAAGAAAAAACTTATATTCCCATCTAAATAAAATAGAAAAAAAAAATGATTTATATTATTGCTCTTGTATTATGTAATCGATGATGAAATCAAGATAAAATATTGCATTGATTAACGATAAGATCAACAAGTAAAAAATATACCGCGCAATTAGGAGATATTCGTAAATTGTTGAATAATATTGAAGATGAAAAGAAATCAAGCAGTATGTATATTTATGTACCAAAATTGTTGTAATAAAGTATTGCTAATGACTATAAAATATTGTAATATAGAGAATAGAGATTAATGTTTTTTTTTTTTTCGCGCTCCACATACACACATATTTATGAGTAATGAATTTTTACGATTATATATATTCATATCGCAACGCGATAAATAATTATGGATCTTGGGTTTTTATTTCTCTTTTTATAATATTCATGTTCCGTTACAGTAGGAGGAATTAAATCCGGAATATGGCAATTATAGACACAATCGTAATATACAAAATTGGTATCGATTAACGAGCTTCGTTCGTTCTCCGTGTGTTGTCTCTTATATATATACCTCTTTGAGATAAGTCTCTTTTATATTACATCAAAATTCGCGTAACCGCACACATACAAACAAAGACGCAATAGAATATTATAACTTATATAAGTTTCTGGAGTAATCGAGTAGCCTCTACGTACTTTATAAATCATCTCTTTCGCGCAGTGAGAGAGAAATGCGCAAAAAAAAAAGAAAAATAATATATATTATCTACTCTTTCGCTATAATAAATATAGCAAGAAAGTTGCATTGAAAATGCAACGTAAATTGAAAAAAATATCGAAAGGAAGATATACCGATGGATACTATTAATTACGTGACAGAAATAAACGTCCCATCGCCTATCCCATATACCGAACACGTGTAAAAGATTACGTACTTATATAATATACGGATATAAGGAAAAAACATTAGAGCCCTGGATCATTCGGTATATATCCAGTATCAGTCTTAAAAGGGTGCACAAAAGCTTAGGTCTCCCGTTTTCCTTGTCTGTCACGCGTATCCGTATCTGCATCAAATCCGATTCTCCGTAATCCTCTTTTTGATTTTCGTTTATTAACTACTTTTCTTAATTCGCGATGTGAAAAATTGCCGTAGGCCAATAAAACCGATTCAAAAACGAGTTATTTAATGTATCATTATACGTCGTATCATTCCTAATATTTTTGAAAATAACGAGTTTCCATTCTCTCTTTCTCTCTCACTCATACATATATATGTATAATAGATAAATGCACATACATATTCTCATTCTTTCTTTCAATCATCCTGTCTCCCTTTCTATTTTGTTCGTAGTCGTTTCGCTCTCGTCTTTCATACCACACACACATTATGTATTTATCGTATAAAAATCATGAGAAACTTAAATATTCTTTCATTCACTAGAAACTCTGATTCATAACTGTGTGCTTCAGACTCTCTCGTTTCAACTACAGAAATTGAAAGATTATAATAAAGGAGAATTTCATTAACAATTGTCTAGATTACAAGTTCGCATGTTAAGAGATGTTTAACAACTGTTTCCTGTTCTAGATTAATTTGCAATATATGTTAAACGCGGGGTCGCATATAAACTAATCTCTTCGTTATTTTCGCCCGGAAATATAGTTGAGCGCGAATCGAATATTTCTTTGTAGGAAACTATTCAAGCATGAATTAATTTTTGATCGGCTGATTTTGTCAAGCGATCGTTCGACATTTCTTCAATCTGAATAATACATTGATCCCGTTTGCGCGCTTTATTGTAAAATCTTAAACTCACTACAATTTCCTTTTGTTTCCTTTCGACTATGTGAAAATGTCCACCTTCAGTGTTTCGTGAGTCATTGAAAAAGAAAAAAATAGAAAAAAAGAGACATAAAAAAGTGAAAAAAAATTTTGAACATTGACTTTTATCTTTCTCTATTTCTCTTATTATAAAGGATAAGAAATAAAATTCTTATTATGAATTGATAACGTAATAATGAAAAAAACGAAATAGAAAAAAAGAGTAATGGATACAAAATAAAACTAGACGCTTATTTTGTTAAAACACTGAAGCTGAATCATGCTTGTATATTCTCTCTCGATAAGTTTTTTTTTTTTTTTCTTAATCTAGAACATGTATCGGGGGCAATCACGCACTAATAGCTTTCATATGTATTAATAGTGACGATACAAATATTTGAGAAAAAAAGAGCAGTCCTCTTTAAGTTCTTTTTTTCTTTGTTTTTTTTTCTTGATTAAATTGAGCCTGTGTTAAAAATTTGGCAAGAGATCTTTTTACCTGTTATCGAATATACTCAACTTTATATACTGACTAGGGTATTTTTCCATCTCTCTCTATAAAATGAACAAAACACGTTTGTTCATCTCGTATATTACGTGGCCGACATACCGTACACGTGCGTGTACACATTTAATATTCATCTCGTCGAAACTTAAATTAGCGCATTTAACTAAACTATATGCTACTAGTCTATATGAGCTATCGCGCTCTGTAATAAATATTACAATTATTTACATTGAATTAAGTTCTCTTGCTATTCACGCTCCCTTTAATTCTTGGTGTGTACTGCGGTTATATATAATTGTTATTCGACTAAACACAAGTCTCTAAGAAAATTCTGGAAAGTGGTTTTGCGATAAATGCATACGTTACACTGGAATGGCACGATTTTCCTTCCTGCATCCCGAAATCGTAGTCAAACTGTCAACCAAAGTGGCAAAATGCTTCCACGAATTCATATAACATCTAGATTCGCGTTTTATCACACTTTTTACGTTTATTCGATAATCTTAATTGTTACTGTTTATATACAGATTTACTGAATTATATGCGGATGCCGGTATAAAGTCACTTGTAATTGTTGAAAATCTATCGACTCTTATAAATTTTTAAATAGTATCAATTAGAGATGTACCGAATACACTACAGTCTCAGGCACCCGCGGCAATTGAAGAAATTGACAAATTGCCAACCGGATGCTCTGATAATCGTAAATATTTGTCCGGTTATATCCAGGTTATTCAGGCACAAAATTATTCCTTAATATTCAGATCTAATTATTTGCGATTAAAACGTGGCGATTATTATAATATCTAGCAAGCGGGAAATAATTATTGAAAGTTACATTAAAATTTTTAGAAGATGAGCCTTTTTTTCTCTCTTCAGCGTTTTCACGTAAATACTTTTCATCATTATTGACTTTACGTGAATTTATCATTTCAACATTGGTGTTAAAATAATTATTTGGTATTCGTCTATTTGACAAATATCAAATAATTGCTAGATTATATACCCGGTATATCTCTAGTGTAGAATATCTGTCAGGAAGACTGCACTCCGCAGAAAATTCATTTTTGATTCTTACAAAACGTAGTAAGATTCAATTTTAGATCCATTTCTCTTCCACTGCCTTTAAAAAAGAGTAATGCGGTATTTTAATTATATATAGTACGGCTTGTGTGGAAGTAGATTTCCAATATTTTTTAATAAATCGGACACCCACGTGCGGTTTTTAGTTTTTCTCTTTCCCATGTGAAAATTGAAAACGCATAACATCTGTGCTACCATCATGTTTGTACTTAAAAAATATATTCGCCTAAGCATTGGCAGTATATCGAGCGTAGTCAATCGAATTCTGCCAAAGTACCTCGTAAAAATCACGAGACATTCGTGCGGTAACTAGAGATGTATGTATACGCGTTCACACACATATAAAGTGTATTGCATATCTCTCACAGAAAAATTCAACATAGATTCCCTTGATAAAATGTATAAAGTATATCTAAAAACCTCGGTATCTCCCTCCTTCATTGTATATTTTGGTATTTCTTTCAGAGCATTCAACGATATTTAACTTTCCTTAAGTTAAACATACGCGAAATTAACAGCTAATTTAGAATGAACAAGCGAATAGTATCTCTGTAAATGATGTCAATGTAAATATCTTTGTGCTTATTCGTTGAGATGCTTTCGATAGCTTTTCGATCAACCAATCGAGCAATAAATACGTACGTCGCCGCTTTAAGTACCTATTCCTCTCTGGATACTTCGCGCACGATCCGATCAAGAACATCGTAACAAAGAGAGAGGCTAACATAGAAGGACGTACCACAATTACTGTACATGATATACAAGTACAAAATCTCGGATATAAAGTATGTCTCCCACAAGTTTCTAAGTTCTCTAAGATTTTTTGTCCCCTCCCCTCATCCCTTACTTCTCTCACTTTTATCGCAGATCTCCGAAATCGATTTGCCATTTTTTTTTCTTAAATAGGAACTCCGAATCGCCCGACTTAAACTTCATCGAAGGACAAAACTTTTTCCTTTTGTAAAATGACAACGTTTCGAAAATACGATTCATTGAATACGGCATCGTCTCTTTCTTTTACCACGATTAGAGTTCCGTTACAGCATACAAATTAGGATCGCTACCCTGTACCTGACTTAGCGTAGCCACCGTCGGCTTTTCCTGCCTTCCCTGCGCTCGATTATACGTACCGTACATATTCGGCACCGTATTATTCTGCGCGGCGGTACCATTAAACTGACTGCGCGAAAAATTTCTGTCCAAAGTCCTGACCTGATCCTGCATCTGATCCTGGATGCGAATGTTAGGCGCCTTGTTCCGCACCAACGATCGAAACTGATTCATGTTAGTCTGCGAACGCGACTCGAATTCCCACGTCGGCTGTTGCTGACTCGCGGGATTCGGCGGGAGCGGTCGATTTTGATTCCAGGCCGGAGTGGGACCCCTCTTCAGATTGGCCAGATTTTTCGGATCCAGCGTTTGCGTCTTTCGAGAGTCTTGGAAAGTAGCAAGATGCGCGGGTCCATGCGAATTGTGAGACAGGGTACCGGTGAAGGACGCCACGCTAGGCGTCCAAGGTGGTTCTCTACCTGTATAACATAAAATGCGATATACCATTTCAATTTTAATCGCAAAGAATTTAAAAAAAACAGCCAGGAAAAGAAAAATATAGAATCTCATCGTTTCGTTTTATGCCGTTTTAATTCACCGAGAATGCAAACGTTACGATATAAAGACATATTAAGTTTAAAGCATTTTTCTTTTTATATTTACCGGGCCCTGCGGGGGCGTGCCCTCAGTAAAAGTCACTGGATTCTAGTGTCTTGCATTGTTTGCTCAGAGTCGCGTACTGGCCAGGTTGATCTCCGAGTCCAGAACGGTGCTCAGCTCGTCCACCCGTTGATTGCTGATTATGCTGAGACGATTTATGATCCCCGCCTGCTCCGCTCCCGTTAACACCCCCACCTCTGTAAACGGCGAGGAAGAACAAACCAAGTTGCAGCATTATCTTTGTTTTACATAATGACCAATAAGCTTATCTAAACATAAATCCAAATTCAATCACGCCTGCAAAACCGTCTATACATTATGTTTATATTGATAAGAGATTAGGATTACAAAGCGCGCTATACTAGTTTTTTAATGATATTATAAAAGCAATCAAAACTAATGTTCGCTAAGAAAAATATTAAATCTGTTCCAAAATATGCTATGTCTCGCGCAAAAACACTGAAATATTTAAATAATTAAAACATCAAATATAAAATCAAAACAATTATTTATATGATGCAATTATCACACTTTATCTCACGTATATTCGTTAAAAGCACGTACTAATATATAAAAATGTTGATATAAATTCTTTTAATGATGGTAAAATTACATGTATGATTAAAGCAACATCCAAAAGAGACGCACTGAACCTAATATGATATTTTAGCGCGATATTCATCGATCTTTTAATTCAATTAGCTAAACAAATTAAGAAGAATAAACTGAAAATCTCATGCACAAACTTTAGCATGCTCTCGTGCAGTTGACGTGCTCGAGCAGTCGCAGTAGCGTAGGACGGTGGGGGCGGCGTTAGCAAGAGAGGCTGCTTAATCGTATTATGAGTGCCAAGAGCATTCGAATTAAGCGTAGGGGCTGTAGGCGGGTACGACCCTTGGCCTCGAAGGGTCCGAGCTGCTATCGCTTGCGAGGCTGCCGACGGTGGTAAGTAAGGATCTTGCTCATCGACTTGATGGTAATCTCTTCTAGAACAAACGCATCACCGATTATGCCTCGTTTAAGTCTATCCAGCGGATACCACAAGAGTTCTCTTAAAATAGAGCGTAAAGGATCCCGTGGTACCTGCTGAAGCGTGAAAGATAAGAAGACTTTACCGTAATTTTGATAATAAAATAAAATATATCTTGAGATTCGCAGACATTAATTCTCATAAACATTAATATGCTTACCGTTTTCGTATATATATCCATGTATGCGAGTCCACCCAAACCAATACAGTGAACAGAAGACCTGCGGCTAAACTGGCTATTAGCATAAAGCTCAATCCGTATCTAAAACATATCGCAGAGAGAGCTATTATTGTAAGAAAGAGTTTAAAAGCGTATAAAATCTATGTAAAATATCAACTTACAATCCCAAATGACATAAACTCTTAGCGGCATGAACGTATTGCTTGTGCAGAGGTTTACAGTCGAGTAAGGTAGCCAAACCCGACACGAGTCTGTCTACGGTGTTAACGTCCGTGGACAAGCTGCTGAGCTTCGGCTGGAGTTGCTGATCTTTAAATAGTTCTATCGCTAATCGACTCACGCTGTTCAAATTGTGCCTCATGTTGCCCACCGCGCGCTGCGCGTCCCGCAATCTCTGCGTGAATGGATTACTGCGCGTGTTCTCGCAATGCGTGTAGTATGAGAGTACCTCAGAGGCTAAGGTCGACGGTACGGCTCTGCTTAAATAACCGTCGGGCGATACGCAGAGATCACCTAGAGCTACAGAAGTGGCCAGATATAAGGACGCCATGAGCCAAGAGACGATTACCGCAAACAAGCCAAATACGGAGAATCTGAAAAGAAATTCTGTCAGAATGACTTCGCTTTGACTTCACATCTGTAACGTTTATAGAAGACGTAATCTTTCTCGAATTTACGAATAATTAAGATTTTAAATATTTTGCTCAAAAATATGTACGAGATAATCGAAAAAGAGATATCAGTATGACAGATTTATTTCCATTTTCAAAGAAACGTACGTTATGAGGACGCATCTAGAGTGTCGTGCAACACCGACCACTAGAACCACACAAAGGACAAGTAGAGCGCTCAAGACTGCCATAGTGATAGGCCATCTTAATTGCTCGATCTTCTCGCCCATTCCGATAGCGCCAGCGAGACTGATTCCACTCAAGGGCTTTCGTATCTCGAAACTCCGATTTACGGCGATGCTCGTGTTTTGCTTCATACCGTTAAGTGCCGCCAACAGCCAACCCAACATAGTTTTATTGCTGACCGGAGCATCGAATTCGTCACCCAAGGCGGTCAATTGCGGTTGTACTTTTTTCTTTAGAGTTACTTCTATATTGTCAGTCTGCGAAGAAATGTATAATTATGACACACAAGTAAAGATATAACTCTTTTAGTTAATTACTTAAACTATATTGACATCAGCCAAGATTCTCAGTTTATATTTGCTCAAGAAAATCGTCTATTAAATATTGAAAAAAAAATTTAATGTAATATTATATCATCAGAAAAATAATATAATTTAAATTTGTAAAATACAAATATATGTCACAAAATTTTATTTTTTCATATAAGAATTAAAAATAGCTAATATTAAAACGACTAATTATTCAACATTTATATTTTTATCAAAATATTTTATTATTATATTATTATAATAAACAAAATTTTATTATTAGGATAAAACAAAATATAACTGCACTGTGCAAGAATCAGACCTGATTTCTGACGCCCATGAGGATTCCATCGACGTTCTTCGCCGCGGCTACTAGTTGCACTAAACCGTTGTGAACGTCGTCGTTGCCATAAAGACCAACAGCAACTGCTCCACTACAGAGCAATGCCAGGATGGCCAGGGAACATTTCAGCGCGGTTATCGACTTCTTGGGGCGCGGCCTCCGGTCGCAGCATCTCGTTACCAAATAAACCAGCAATACCAGCAACGTTAAGATCAACCAGGCTGCAGGGATACTTCCTAATATCCCGAGGCTCTGAAAAAGTTGCATCCAATTATGGCCTTTTCCCTCTTTTTTCTCGTAATTTCGCATATATTTTTTTTTTATTTAAAAAAGCTGACTTTTTCATATAAAATATATAATTTCAGATTTTATACAAAAGTCATTCATTGATTTTTATAAAGTTAACAAAAAGATAAATTATAGTCTTTATATTAATTACGAAATAAAAATTCTTTAAAAATTAATAATTAGTTTAAAATTTAATTGAGAAAGGGGCTGCCTTTTCTCTTATCCTTTTATTTTTGGCCTCGAGAAGTTTCAGTTACGAGCATACTATCCAAATAAACAACGTCCAAAAATTGGAACTATGCCAAGATTTGTTCATTTCCTCTACTAAAAGATGGTCGCATGCCAATAGCGTTATCATCATCGTATATCGTCAAGGATTACATTGTGACACCATTTCGGACGCATTTTCCTTCGTATTTACTTTGTGCGCAAACTACGCTTAAGACGAGACTCATAAACTTTCATCCTCCTCCTTCTTCGGCTCTTTTTTCCCATGATATCTATCTCGTTCCTCGGCGATTTTTAACTTGACCGATCCACCCTGCTGAGGAGGCGTGACGGAAACGTGCGCCGAGACAAAGTTTCAAAGTCGACCTGGGTGTCTCGTTCCATGAATTCGTCCACTTCGACGGGAAAGACGTGACTGAAAAAAAAGGGGAGGAAAAGAGAGAGAGAGAGAGAGAGAGAGAAAAGAAGAGAAAGCGACACGATGGCGGAAACGTGGTGGAGGAACCGAGGGTAATATGACGAGGATACACCCGTGGTCCGACGTGGTCCCGAGCACGTTGAAGCAGTCCGCTCGCGAGTTGCCCCCGAGGCGCACATTATGCGAAAGCCTTTGTGCATTGTTTGAGCTTTCCCAGCCATTGTGCTTTCCTACAGTTACACGCGGCCCGGATTCTTGCGCGCTCACGCTCGCGGCATCCACCTGCTCGTCGTCGTACTTTTTCGGTCCTTTTTTTTTTTTTTTCTTCGCCGGCTTCTCGTTCCCCTTTTCCCCTTCTCTTTTTTTTTTTTTTTCATGTCCTCGCCGTGTTACGTTTGCGTCCTATCGCCGGCTGCCTTCTCGTGGACACGTGAATCGTTTCTTTTCTCTTTTTCCCTTTTCGGGTCTTGTGCTATGTAAAAGAATACGGATCGGTACATACGAGTCTTCTTCTCTCGCCCCGTTTCGCTCCTAGATACGTTTCTTTCCTCAATTTCCATCCATTCATCGATGTGTATCAAACCAATATCGCAAATCTATACGAAATTATATTAATAATGGAATTAATAATGGCATTATTTTCTAAAGTAATAATTAATAATCTAAATTAATAATCTAATCTGTTGATTAGAAAATAATTTTAATAATAATAATAAACTCTAAAAAAGATATTTATATACATATAAAAAGAAATGTAATTTTTATCTCTATTCTTTAAGAATTTAAAAGCACTTATTGTATACATAAAGTAAAAGTTTAGTCTTAATAATAAAAAAATTAAAAAATTAAACTTATAGGATAAATTGTCAAATTTAAGGAAATACAGAAAAGTCGATAAAATAAAAATATGTTTTCGATATCTTGTGTTATTACACGAGTTCGTTGATAAATTAATAGCAAAAATGTGTGGGTGTGTGCTTATATTTTCGTCGATTGAATAAATAAAATATCTACGTACAAGGAAGGTGGAATCGCGGTCGAAATATTCCCGTAATATAACTGTGAGAATTAATGGATATTAGCAATTGGAAATAGCGAGTATTTCCCAAACAGGATTCTCAATTAATGTATATCCGCTTATACAAAATGTAAACTCAAATATGAAGCAAAATGTATTAAAAATTGAGGACTAAGAAAACTCGATATCAGAGAGAAAGAACATTCAAGCTTTATCGGGGAAAGGGGTTGCATTTCAAATATTTATATCAATTACATGTATTTGAGGTACATCGTCCAGCAGGATTGAAAATAAACCGAGGATGCTGATATCTCCCAAGAGAACGTTTCAACCAGCGTACACACACACATCGATTTGAGTAAAATATTTATCTTGAAACGCTCTTCTCTTGGTATCTCGGGGTTCGTACGCGAAATCCGAATTCTCTCGCCGAGAGCAATTCGTTTATCGATCCACGGGAAAGACTTAAAGGCTCAGGTCGCGCGCGGTCGATTAATCGGGGACGCACTTTGTTTTAAATCAACGAGATTGGTTCGCGCACGGGACGCCGTTTGAAAATTGGGGTAAAAGGATATTCGAGAGGGAATCCCCGATAATAAAATTGCGGGAAAAAAGTTAAATTGAGAATTTCTATATCCGGGAGTACCATCCCTACCTCCAAATAGATTTCGGAGTGCGGATTGAACGTATTATTGACCGAATGTAGAGATACGTTCAGATGCGGCAGACTGTGAAAGATCCTCGCGTATTGTGGTACCGTGTACTGCTCCGGAAGCTGCTGACCGCCCGCCATTTTGCAGAATCCTTATCTGCCAAAAACCCTTGTCGAAACGTCCCTCCTACTCGTCAAGACATGCTACGCGCGAGCGCTGTAATTAAAAAATCCAAAATTAGTATGATGCGAGAATACTCAGAAAAATCGATATTTATGTGTGGGAAAAAAGTTAAATCGAGAATTTTTCTATATCCGGAAATATCATCCCTATCTCCAAATAGATGTAACGTCCGCGTAACAAAATACTATAAATAGCATCTGGATTTTGTGTTAATTGAAATTTTACGTTTATACAATTATATAATATAAATATGTATTATATGAATATATATAATTCATTAATATGTATTATATTTTTTTACACACTATATACATTACATAATTCATTACTTTATATATTTTTCATTCGATATTTAAAAATTCTGTATGAAAAAAAGCGAGCGTTAAAATCTGTTATCCCGTAATATAACTGTGAGAATTAATTTTCTATACATATATAAAAGCCTGTTCGAATGTTACAGTGTTAAATACGATGTATGTAACGGTCTCTCCCCCGACCGATTAGCAGCATTTTATATACGCCACATTCTATACTGAACTCCTGTAGACGAGCAACAAATACCTATCATCGTAATAAATATATCCGCGGATCGATAAAGTGCAATGTACACATACGGTTTATTAACCTACTTTCCTTATTCCTCATTCTATCCTTGAAGCGTATACATCGCGCGCGTACACTGCACAGCACGCTTCTCTCAATATACTCGATACATTCAAACGAGGAAATCCATAGTATTACGTGTCTTTCATTTCCACAATGACCTGAAAATACACGCGACAAACGCTTCCTTGTTCCTTAAAAAAAAAAAGAAAAAAAAACACACGCGGTTCGATAAAAAAAGAAAGTCTCTCCGATTATTAATACAAAAAAGTGATTAATACAAAATAAAATTTTTAATTAAATAAATATAGACGCAATAACGTCGAAATAATTGGCTCTACGATCTTGTAATAAATGCAAATAATCGTAATCGATTTGAAGCAAATGAGTCACTATTAAGTATTTCATTGCGCAAAAATCACGAGTGATTCCATCAGCCGACAGCGTTCCATTTTATCGAGTTTAACGTATAATATCCGATCGTAGAGAAATCTTTCATTTTCCATTTTACCGTCACCGCCGAAGCGGGAGCGGTTATTCATTCTCGGTCCGATAAAAACGGCAATTTTATCGCTATGAGCCGCGAGAAACCGCGAACGCTATTCGCAACGGAGACTCGAATATCGGTGTGCGTCCATATTTTTACTCACCGCATGCGTATGACATATGCGTGCGTCAACGTATATAAGCCGTAAGAAATAAAGCCATCGCCAATCGCATTGCGGTTTTAAATGAAGATTATTACGCGATCGTCCGCACCTGTGTCTCTTGTCATGCTAAACTTGCGAAAAATTTTCCTCAAATATTGTCATTTTTAACGTGGAATTCTCAAAACTGCAAAAAATTAACAATAGATTACGCGATACTGACTAATTTCTTATTCTACTCCGGAGAATGTTCGTTCTATGTACCCAGACAAGTTTTTTGTGACTTTCCTGCAAAGTCGTTAATTACACGCTTCGATCGCAGTGGTTTCATTATCGGTTCCATTATAATTATTAACCCCGATTCTCATCGAACAAAATCTCGCTTCGCATTCCATAAAATTTTCATTTAATTTTCCGCGACAAGAGAATATACGTGTGTAAATTTAAATACATGTGTACCAGTATGCAAACGTGTGAAATCTCTAAAAGTAAAAAAAAAAAAAAAAACAAAAAAAACAAAAAACACTAAAATAAATACAAAAAATAATATATTTAACTTTATATTTTCATAAACTTGAAAAAGCGAATTATTTCTTCGGAGAGAATATTTTACTACATTTGATAAATATGTTATCAGATCTTCTAACATTCCAATAAAATAAAAATGTCTCATATAATCAAGAATAATTACTCTCAAACATTGTAACATATTAATAAACACTTTCGATCATTCTTCATTTAAATTAAAAGACAAAGTAATTTAAATATTAATTTCTTGATTCTCAGAGTGATCTTATGAATAAATTAAAAAATTAATTTATGGAATAGAGAAAAATAGAATTAGCACTCGCGTTTAGTTTCTTCCATTTGATTTACGTTTAATCCCCATTAACTTCTCGCAATATTTCTATAGCTTATCGAAGAAAGTTACTCGCAATGAAATATCAAATTTTCTAAAAAGCCTCATCGAGAGTTTTAATTTGATTATCGTTTCGTATTAGCATACTGTGCTCTTTCGTTGTGAGTCATGATTCAATCTCGGCTAAATACGTCGACGTCACTCAGTGTCGCAAAACGTTTTACCGTGGTGATTCAACTCTTCCGTAGTGGAATCAACGCGCGCTTAATTAATGAAGTCTGTGCCAGTCAGCTCTCCATCTCTCTCGCTTCATTGACATCGCTAAAGCGCGCCGAAAAGATTTCTGAGATGCTTTTTAGTCCTCAAATCGACTGAAATGGATTTAATGGGCTCAAAAAACGGTGATGTATTATTATCTCTTAAAAACTTTTGAACCTTAAATGTTTGAAAAATTGGTCTATCTCTATTATTATATATATGCTTACATTAAATTAAGAAAAATAAACGAAATTATATTAATAATGGAATTAATAATGGCATTATTTTCTAAAGTAATAATTAATAATCTAAATTATTTATTTTTAGAAGCGTGTGCGTCGTTCGTTTCCAAACACGGAATAAATTTATTTTATTTTTAGTGTGAAAAATTTAAACACTAATGAATAGGATGCAAAAGAGAGGGTTCTCTACAGTTTCATGTCATTTTAAATTTAATCAATTTTCTCTCTCCCTCTCTGTCTCTTTCTCTCTGCGCTTTCTGTTCGATTTAACATAATTGTAATTACGTTGTTATTACGTATTTACATGATTAACATAGTTATCCTAATTAGCAACAGCTTCGTTCGACATATGTACTTACATAAACTTTACGAGTCAATACCATAATTTCAACACTAAAAAATTCAACTGAAAATCAATTGTTATCAACTGTGTTGACCTATGTAATAATTAAGTATAGAGGAAAGTTAAAAGGAGGATTAAAGAGTTAGATAATAAAAGCATAATTATTATATATAATTTTTATATATAATTATATATTTTATATTTAAAATATAAAAACTATTAGTTATAATAAATAGTCTGTACAA